ACACATAAACAAAATCCATCCAATCCAAAGAATTTTTATTGCTTATTATTGCGAGGGTTTCTCTGCGTTGCATTTCGCAGAACCAACAATAACACAAATGCACAAAGTATCGAGTTTCATTTCCTGTCTCCCTAAAGAAAGCTGCTCAGCACAGGGAGAAATCGTAAGTGAGTTAAACACTTGAAAAATGCAGAGACATATTACTTATTTATAACTAATAGAAGCTAAATTGCTTGCAACTCAAGTAAGAAATCCAAGCAACAAAAAACTAGAACGCCAAATGGTAATTAGCACTGTTTTTTCTTTCCGTGCAGCTTAACCCTTCTGCGTCCACTTGTCATCGCCGATCCGAGCACAACGGCGAGCTCATCCTGCTGCTCCAACTGCTCCTTGAAATCAGATCCTGCCACACAATCACCGCACACAAATCGTAACGATTTCTCATTTTAATCAATTAAAAGTCGCCGGACGATGCTCCGATCCCGATTCCGATCCCGATCCCGATGCTGATTTCGATACTAACTGTAAACCGCTGACACTTGCCGAAAATATGCCGAAAGTCGCGGCTCGGAGTTAAAATCGGACCATTACGGTGTGCCTGATTAATGAGGTGAAATGTTGTGAAATATGGTCGAAGCGAAGGGCTTTGCCAGGAGAGCGGGGGGGATCGGGATGCGGGGAGTGGGGAACGGGAAGCGGGAAGCGGGAGGCGATGCCGAGGAGGCAGCGACAAATCAAATGGAAATCAATACCCACACGAAACTTAACGCCTTCCGTCCCTCGTCCTCCCGGTTTTGAATAAATGAGTCCGGGGAGACGCCCCCAATCGCAGGCCCCTCCTGGCTCTCTCGGCCATCCCTTATAAGGACAGACCACTGTTCGGAGTTGTCAAAAATACCGAGCCACGAAGTAAAGAATTGCAAAACTGCCAAAAAAAAAACTCAGCGGACAGCGAGGCTGAAGCAAACAATCGGCAAGTGTGAACATGTAAGTGTCAGAGCCTCAATTCGAGTCATTCGAACCAAAAGCAGCCGGATCGCAGATCGGAGATCGTGCAGGTGTTCCCGAGGTAATGGCCATTAAGGCTGTGGCTCTGGCTTTTTGTCCAATTTTTGTGAAAAGCGTGAAAAGCCCACTCGCGTGAAACTAAATCAATAAGCACGCGGCGTATACTTAATCAAGACATAACAAATCATCACCATCGGTCAACTTTAAATGCGAAATCAGGGTGGCATAAAAGGAATACTCTGTTGAAATTACACTTTCAATGGATCGATCGATCTGCCCGAGAGCGCAATTGCCAGCTCCAAATAATAACAATTATTAAAGCTACTCGCAGATGAGCATCAATGTAAAAATCAGCCTGACAAGCTACTCAGCCATCTTTACGAACTACTAGGGGCTTCCAGCCTGGTTTATAGTTGCAGAAGCAGCAAAGCCTAACGCCCAGCGGCCAAAGGGGAGCTGGGCCAATGGGAACTTAAAAAGCGACTATCGTCCAGAGTCGAGAGGTTGGAAATGGCCTAAACCGATAATCGCATTTCTATCACCTTTACGCAATCGGTGAGGCAAATTCCCAAGTGCCATTTATGTACGGAAAATTGGCGAGCATTCGACCCAGTTAAATGTGGAGCAGAGAGGAGATCAATCCTCCGAGTTTCAGCCCGGGTTCACATCGCTTGTTGACCGCATTAAACTCTAATAATTCGCTATTATGACATGATAGTCACGTATTAAGCAAAACAGCAACCGACTAACCGCATAACCAATAACCCACAACTCAGCCCCACGACAAACTGCATTCAGAATTATGAGGCGACCGGCAACCGGTTGGGCGACCCACCTCAGACTGGGTCCCCAAAAGCGTGGGGCGGGGGAAGGGGAATGGGGAAGGGGAAGGGGGTTCTCGGGGGGCAGGCCGGTGCGCAAATGCCAAAATATTTGCGACAGCCAAAAATTTGCATGCAGTGTGAATATGCAAAGTAACCGTACTGCAGGCAAAACCTGGCGAGAAAAAGCCAGCTATCTAGAGCAGAGTTTTCAAACCTTTTCGTTTTCGAACATTTTCCAGAAACAGAACCAAACAATTTGCACGAGAAGCCAGCAGACAGTTCCAGTTGGTGGGTAAGATCGGCTGCAGGCTCACTTTTGGTTTCAGCTCGCCACTCGTTGTTCTTTTGGAGCGTTGACACATTTCCACATGCCCACACACATCGCAGAGCGTTCTAATAACTGGCAGCAATCTGCATAGGAATCGGGTAGCGGTGCCAATACGCGGAGGGGCAATTGAAAGCCGGCTCTGATCGATTTGTGAGCGACGGTGGCGGGCTGCTTAATTTGGCTTATGTTTCATATTTGCCCCGGGCAGAATCGTTTAGTGCTCGGCGGTTGATTTATTCGCCGTATTCGGTCAGATCGAGTCCGCTCACGACGAGGGTGTTGCGTTGCCCCTTGTTGCCTTCTGTTGCCTCCTGTTGCCTCCTGCATGTTGCATGTGGCCGCTGCTCACAGCCGAAAACTTGAACTTCGACTTTCGAAAACAACGGCCCGCAGAGGCTGACTAATGAGGGAATTATGCAGGCAGATAGAACGGTGCGATGGCGGAGGGACTGCGACTGGGATCGGGATCGGGATTGGGATCGGATGCGGGAGCGGGAGCGGGAGCGAGAGCAGGGACCGCGAATCGGTGGCTTATTCATTAGGTTTCGGCTGCACCCGCGCCTCGCAGCTAATTGCCGGTATCTGCATCTTAAGGCCGCAACCAAGTGGCAGCCACATCAACATGAACACACATCTTATCGGCCAACCAATTAAGACACACAAAAACGTGGCTCGACTGCTGAAAATTGTCAGCAAATCGAAATGAAAATCAAAGTCAGTCGAGTCGACAGGCAGCCGGTTTAATTTGATTTGATGTGAGGCCGCCGCAGAGCCAAGAAACAAATCGCGCTGAGAACCCCCGGCTTCCAGTCCTATGCTCTATGGTACACAGAAAAAACAACTATAAGGTAAGCAAAAAACAGAACAAGACAATGCAGAATTTAAATTCAAACAATAAATGTGGGTCAAACCAACAGATATGCTCCTATTTAACAACTGTAATTTTCTTTCCGTGCAGTGGGGTCCATTGCCTTCCCCCTTCTTGCCAATCGAGCGCACCTCGGTCGTCCGCTTTTCGATTTCGTTTGCGATTAGGCTAGGCCAAAAACATAAGTCCGCAGCCGCGATATTCGGCTGCCCGTAATGAGCTAGCGACATGTTCACTTGCTCGATTGCCGGGTTTCCGCTTGGCTCTGCAAACCAGTGCGGCCGACTGTCAATTGGCAACTGCCAACTGGCGAGTTGGCCGCCGAAGGCTCCTTGCTCCATTGCTGCCTTGCTGCCACCTGCAGCGAAATCTAGCCCACCATTGTCTCGGCTTCTGCTGCCAATTACGCCAGTCAGGTGCGTAGTCCCCGAAGAAAGGTGCGCCAGAGGGGGAGGACCCGTGCGAATGCGGAGTGATCCACCTCCTCGGACTTGGACATAATTTCAAAATTTCCATATCTACGGATACAAATGACTCCCCTTGGGGGCCGCTACTGTGGGGCACAGATGTCTATCGGGCGCCGTCAACAAGTTGGACGTAACTCAGATGGAATCGAATCGCTAGAAGTGGCGTGAAGGTCGAAACCTCAGTGGGTCTTTACTTTTTGAGCGGGGAAACTGGGTAAGCGGCTAATTGAATGCGGTTGCGAGAAGAGAGGAGCGGAGATTGAGTCCTAAACCCACGCTAAACATTCCGACTTAGTCGCCTTTTGTGAGAGTCTGTGGATGATTTCACGTTCAAAGGTTATGACGTTGTCGTGTCAACATTTTATTATTTATTATTGTAGCCTCTAGCGAGGCAAAAAGGGTTTGCCCCAAAACAAAAGCCAACTAATGCGCCCACTCCTCCACTGTCTCCTGTCTTCAGCCTTCAGTCTTCAGACTCCGGTCTTCTGGGTTCTCTCTGCAGTCTTCTCTTGGCTGTCGGTGGCTTTTGAGCTCTGAGCGTCGTTTGAGCCGCAGTTTTGAGTTCCTGCCCTGTCCTGTCAGATATTAATGGAGCGCCATTGTCTGCCCCCCTTGAACCACTAACGGCGCTTTGATTTTGCCATAGAAATTAGCATTCAATGCGATTTACATTGCCATGCCAATCAACGCCCTCCGCCCAAGTTGGGGAAAGGGCACCCCTTTCGAGGAGATCGAGGAGAAACCCCCTTGCCAGACGGCCAATCAGAGAACTGATTCTGTTCCCGGAGCTCCGGAAAGTGATGCATATTCTGAGCGACTCAATGATGGAAGAAGCTCACAGCCAACTTCCGACTCCTAACTTCAGGTTTAAGAGGGCAAATACACCATAAATGCACACAAAAAACCAATGTGATACCTCACCTAAGAAAAACCTTTTGTTTAAATACGTTCAACTTCACAACTTCTTCAAGGATACCATTTAGACAAAGCTTGTGTAATTTTTTCCAGTGCAACACCAGAGTTCTGGTTGACGTTGACTCTTGTCTCTATTCAAGATGTAGGTGGCGACATCGACATCACTTACGGTACACAGATCCCAGCATTAGATAGACGCCCTGCTCCTTTCTGTCGGTCCTCAGTCCTCAGTCTCGGTCCCCAGTCTTCGCAGAATTCTCGCATTTCCTCCGCCTTGACTTTCCATTCCGTCCCCACTTTCGGTCCGAGGTTCCCCACTTCATCGCAATCGTGCGCGTTTGTTGAATGTGGGACGTGGACCAAGGGATCGGGGTCCGAAGAACAGAGAACAGGCTTGCGAAGTTTCCGTTGTTGTCGACATCACAGACTTCAATGTTTCATCTGCCGCAACAATGAGCGCGGCTACAAGCACCAACAAACAGAGCGTGTCTTTTAATTGCCGTGCCGCTAACAGACATTAACATTAGCATTAGAGGAGTCTCTTCGAGAGGGGTCGCCATGTCGATGATGCATCCGCGTGGCTCGGTTGCTCAGTTCTGTTTCTCCGACTGTGTGGGCGGGAAATGTAATGCTGCTGCAGTAAACGTAGCTGGTATGATGGCTAGGAGCCTGTTTCTGTTAGAAAGCGAAAACATTGCTATGATTTAACAATATTAGCTAAAATGCTTTGCAATTTGTTTTTTGCTAGTTTAAAAGTTTATTTATTTCTTTCTGTGTAGTTTACACAGTTTAATTCAAAATATCCAAAAATTCAATTTCAGTTCTGAATTACTCTACTTTAAAATAAAACGTATCCTTTAGTGCCTTTCATGCAACCTAAGATTTTTATCCAAACCAATACCACCAATAGTCCCAACTGGTAGGACGATAACTTCCATAGCTATAATAGCTATAGCCGTTATTATAAGAGGGAGGTACCTTTAAATCTTCACATCTAGGATGTTTTTTCCATGAAGTGCACTCTACACAGCCCTTATTTTCTTTCCAATAATAAAATTCTTTACAGTCTGCATGTTTGTCCTTTTTCTTCGCTTCCTCTTCCTTTTTCTTTTTCTCTTCCTCTTCCTTTTTCTTTTTCTTTTTCTCTTCCTCTTCCTTTTTCTTTTTCTTTTTCTCTTCCTCTTCCTTTTTCTTTTTCTCTTCCTCTTCCTTTTTCTTTTTCTTTTCCTCTTCCTTTTTCTTTTTCTCTTCCTCTTCCTTTTTCCTTTTCTCTTCCTCTTCCTTTTTCTTTTTCTCTTCCTTTTTCCTTTTCTCTTCCTTTTTCTTTTTCTCTTCCTCTTCCTTTTTCTTTTTCTCTTCCTCTTCCTTTTTCTTTTTCTCTTCCTCTTCCTTTTTCCTTTTCTCTTCCTCTTCCTTTTTCTTTTTCTTTTTCTTTTCCTCTTCCTTTTTCCTTTTCTCTTCCTTTTTCTTTTTCTCTTCCTCTTTCTTTTTCTTTTTCTCTTCCTCTTCCTTTTTCCTTTTCTCTTCCTCTTCCTTTTTCTTTTTCTCTTCCTCTTCCTTTTTCCTTTTCTCTTCCTTTTTCTTTTTCTCTTCCTCTTCCTTTTTCTTTTCCTCTTCCTTTTTCTTTTCTCTTCCTCTTCCTTTTTCTTTTTCTCTTCCTCTTCCTTTTCTTTTTCTTTTCCTGTTCCTTTTTCTTTTTCTCTTCCTTTTTCTTTTTCTCTTCCTCTTCCTTTTTCTTTTTCTCTTCCGCTTCCTTTTTCCTTTTCTCTTCCTCTTCCTCTTCCTTTCTCCTCTTCTCTTCCTCTTCCTCTTCCTTTTTCCTTTTCTCTTCCTCTTCCTTTTTCTTTTTCTTTTCCTGTTCCTTTTTCTTTTTCTCTTCCTTTTTCCTTTTCTCTTCCTTTTTCTTTTTCTCTTCCTCTTCCTTTTTCTTTTTCTCTTCCGCTTCCTTTTTCCTTTTCTCTTCCTCTTCCTCTTCCTTTCTCCTCTTCTCTTCCTCTTCCTTTTTCATTTTCTCTTCCTCTTCCTTTTTCCGTTCATTTCCATTATTATTTATATTAATGTTAATATTAATATTAATAGTATTATTATTATGAAAGCAACAAGCCGCATTACCTATCTGGGGCTTTTCAAATTGGCAAAGACCCGAGTACATGTTCTGGCAAAGATGCTTATAGAGTTGACCGTACTGTAGATAAACGCAGTGCGCATTGGTATTGTTATTGGGCTCTCCTTTCTGCCAATTCAAAAGCGGCGACTCCGCCCCGGTGACCAGCGAAGTGAACTTGTCCTTAATGGCCAGATCAGAGATGTCCAGCCAATATTTTCCGTCTCCCAGTTTCGGAGCGATGAGGTGCAGCTCCTCCATGGATACGGGTGCTGCCAGGTAACCGCCATTATCACTGCATCTGCCCGCTGCCGCGAACCAATCCATATACTGGTGTGGATCGAAGAACAATTGGTATTCCTCGATCACCTCAAAATGCTCTTGGGGTCTTAGTTTCGGGCTTGTAGCGGCTGCTTTGAGCTTCAGAGCTAGCTGAAGTGCACTTACGGCTTCCTCCAAGGATTTCTCCAGACTTATCAGCCTGGCCTTTTGCTCCAGCTTGGCCCGTAGCTCCTTAAACCGACTCTCCAACCTCGCTTGCAGCGCACTCAACTGCGTGGCTGTGGCTACTTGTTGACCTTCAATTCTGTCCAGCACTCCCTGCGATTCGTCCAAAGTGTGAGAGTTGGTGGCGCTCCACTCCCTCTCCTCCTGCTCCTGAGCAAGGTGGTTCAGCAATGGCGACATTTCCACAAAACAATTTTCTGGGGGACACTCCTGGGCTCCATAGAGATCACAGGAGAGCAGTGCGTACAAAAGATAGACTGCGTATTCGAACATGTTGAGTGAGTAAAACAAACTGATTCCGGATTTGTTCCAAAGCCTCGACGACCCCTAAGACCGATTTCACACCCCTTAAGCGTTAATAAGCCTTAAAATCACTTTTAAAAGCGTTGAATCTTCGGATGTCCGATTTTGTTGCGAACAAGACTAGGGCTAAGTAACTACCAGCTTTCTCCTACGTTGCTAATAGCAGATATATTTGTAGTAACACACTTAAACAGAAATGATCGAAATGTAGATGTTCACTGCGCAAGTTGGCAAATGAAGAAGTAATTGTCGCCGCACCGTCCGTCCTTCATTTCTCCGTGAAACAAGTGAACGCAGCGCTGATGGATCTTAACTTCGGGCCTCCCCTTACTCCATTTAAAAAAGGGCGGAGGCCTGCCCGTGGCCAAGGAAATGAACTCGCCCCATTTCGCCAGGTCAGTGATGTCCAGCCAATAGTCGCCCGAGGGGGTTTCCCCTTTGATTTTCTCCAGTTGCTCGGCATCCTGGACTGTCGCCAGGGTCCCTTTCATCCGGTGGCACATGCTTGCCGCTCCAAACCAATCCACCTTCGTGTTTCTTTCGATGTACAGGAATCTCGATCCAATTTGCTGGAACGTCCCGGGGACTTCCTTACTGGGCTTCACTGAGTTGGCTTGAAGGAGTGCGTGGAGAGCCTTTACTGTGTCCTTCAGCTCTAGCTCCACCCTCTCCAAGTTGTTCTTGATCGAAATCTTGGTCTCTAGCGCCTTCAACTCCTTTTCCATCTTCTCCAGAGCTTCCTTCAACTTGTCTCCCGTCTTTTTCTGCCGGCTCTCAATCCCGACTAGTTTCCCCTTGGTTTTGTTTAGCTGCAGATCGGTAGTTGAGTTCCCCTGAGTCTTTTTGTTTTTGGCAAGGTAATCAAGCACTGGCGGTAGTTCCATGATACACACTTGTTGGGCTTGACTAAATAAATCGGGGCACTGAGTTTGTGCACGGGCTAAGTTACTAACGCAAACCACGACCGCGCCCAAAAAATAGGTTGTGTACTCGAGCATATTGGGCTGTGATCTACATCAGCTTGCTATGCACGTGAAGATCTCTCAGCAAATTTGTCACGCCATTATGTGATTAAACGAACCGTAACAAAAAGTCGTTCAAATACTTTATGGCTAAGAATAGTTCCCTGCCCATTAAAAAAGAAATGCACTACTGAGATAGCTTACTTTCGACATCTTCCTTATTTTGTGGTTTTGCCAGGAAAAGATAAGTGTATTACAGACTCCCAAATCCGTATCGCAGTTAACCGAGATGCCTTACATTGCATGCGGGACACATTCCGTTTAATCCCGTTTGGGGATCCACTAATAAATCAGTCGCTGGCAAATTGCTCAATTATAAATTGCCCAACTCGGCGAACCCGGCTCGCTTTCCATTTCCCTGCTTTTCCGCGTCTCGCCAGTTGCCCAATGTGGAAATTAGCATTTTGGGCAATGCCTTGGCAGCAAAGCGCTGTCATGTAAGTGACTAATTAACATGTCACTCAGCTGCCGCAGCAGCTGCACAGCAGCACACATTGCCACTGCGACTGCCACATCAGCAACCACGGGTTTTCCTCTTTCGAGTCGACTGGCTGACCATTCACTAAAGTTACGCACGAGGCTGAAGTTGAATGGAAACACAAGCAGAGCTTTTCCAACCCCCTGAACCCCCGCAGCGTGTGCCCCCGATTTTCAGCAACCTGTTGCTTCTCTCACGAGTTTCAAATTTGCCGGAGCGGCGGCAAACGTAAGTTGCCGAAAAAACGTTTAACATTTTTAAATTATTAGCCGAAAATTGTCGGTAACTAAAGAGGTAAGGTACGTTTAGTCTGTCTTCATTTGCTTATGCACAGGGAATAATTTAAGCTGAAATGGTTTAAAAATACTATATACATGGTCAAAGCTCGACATTGGTTCGAAAACTGTTAGGAATGCCTTATGCATTTTGAGTATTGTGAGTTTTGAGTTCTGCCAAGAAGACGATATGAGAGCAGTATTGTCGGTTTCTTACTGTGTGGGTCTCTTTTTCGAGGTAATCTCCTGGCTGTCGTTTGCACGGCGCTAATTATCGCCGCTAATGATGCTTTAAAAGGTAGTCGTCGACGACAGGCGGTCCACCAGCAGCGGAGATATAGCCTGCGATTCAGGTTCGGCAACTGGACAGGTCTGGTCCTTCCCTCCCCGGAGCCCCGATCCCCGGAAAAGCCCTGCCCCTGCGATGCTCCTTTCGCTCATCGCATGAGTAATTGACAATTTGCTGAAGCCAGCGTGTCTCCTCTCCTCTACGTGACCGAAGCAGGAGGACGGAGCCTCCTCGAGGATCCCCTCGACTCCCCTCCACCGAGGGTTCATGTGTATGTTAATTGTGTGACTAATGACAGCCAACTTGTCATATTTTTATCAACATGCGGAGTTAACATTTGTGTTTCACTTCCTTTCGTTGCGGATTTCGAGCCCGAGAAGAGTTCAAACCTCGTTCAAAGCAGGGCTGGCAGATCAACTTGCAACTTGGACTTGGATGAACCTTGGAGGAAAAACACACTCGTTTCCAGATTTATGCAACCTTTAGAAAACAGTAAACGATTGAGGTGAGCTCAATGCATGGGAGTAATAAGTTTAAATATTTAATTGAGGAACAGCTAAAAAGGAAAAAAATAAAAAATTTTTACTGGTTAGACTGAAACCTGAGGACTACAGGGGATCCATTTCGATTTCGATTCGGCAGCCCTGGGATCTGTTGTCCGTCTCCAATCTGGGTTACTTGTGTGTCAAATTAACGCTCTTTAGGGGCAATATGCAAGATATGGATACGAGCTGCAAGACGCCCACAAACTCACGACGGTACTCACACAGATCGAACCTCGTTGAATAAGACAGACCGCATAAATAAACAAAAGAAAAAGAGATAAAAGAAGTGGGGAAAAAAATCGTTAGTTCAAAAAACTCAATCAAATGTCGAAACTTGAAAATCGTGATCATGGTCCTGGCTCCGTCCGCCCGCCCCGCAGTCCTTCCCTTGGGTTTCCTAATGGTTGTCGGCTCTAGGCGGTAGCTTAAACAACAACAACCAGTCGAGGCAAAAAAACGGGGAAAACCCAGGGAAAAACAACGAACGGTAGCTGCAAACAAGACAAAAGACAAACTTATCGTTTGAATTATCGGTATTCATTTGCATTTTGGAACCCTGCGACTTCCCCTCGGCCACCTTTTCCTTCTTCCCCCGAAATCGAAATCGGGGAACATTCGGAAAACAGAGAAGAAAATAGTAGCGACGGAAACAAAAAAGCGAATAGCGAAAATCATTCGAATCGAATGACAATTGTCTCGGGTCTGCAAACAAAAAAGAGAGAGCTAGCGGGAGTGAAAATATCTCTAATAAAAAACACAACCGTTAATGGGGAAATTTAGAATCGAATGGCGCGCATACCCTGCAGAAAGATCACCTCACTTATGATACAGATCCGAGTCCGAAAGTGGAAAAGAGAAACAGATTTCGATGAGCTCGCTCAAAGTATTTAATATAGACAAAAAGGTGGAGGGGGGCAAACTAGCCTGCTAGTTTGGACCTGCGTCTCTTCAAGGTATGCTAAGCTAGACGCCCAACACATCTGCCTACAGGGTATCACTTCACACACATTCTGTTCGGCTTTCATGCTTCAAAGCTCACTTGCCTTGCGTTGCCTTTTACAGTTAGCCACCGAGGGCCCCGTCTATAAGTTAGGAAACCGTTGGACTACCCGGCCAAGAAATTAGCATGCGCGACGCTCCTTGACGAAAAAACGCGGGGGGCTAGGGACTAAAAAGGGGGGAATGGAATGTCAACGGCAGCTGAGATTTTTCCCGCTTCTCTACAGTGAATTTCCAGCAAGGATTTCCCGACCGCAGTGGTTGTTGCTACAGGAAAACGTGATCGTTTTAACATTTTTGCCCGTTGTCCGCTAGTGGTTTTGAGTGGCTTTTAGCAATTCTAATGTTGTTGTTGCTGCTTCAGCTTCAGCTGCAGTGGAACTCAAAAGTTGGGGGAGCGCAATGAACGTCGGCGGTTCTCAGAACGATATGTGTACCACATGGCTTAATACCGAGCGATGAGCGGTTTACCCACGACGGTACTTTGATCGATTCTGGGTGAATCTGCTTTACTCTTCTAGCTAACTGGAAACTGACTTAGTTCCGAATTGGAGAACGGGGCTTTAATATAATTTTTCCAGTTTAATGAGGAGACGGTTATGGTTCATTAGCTCCTTAAGGGTTTGGTAAAAGCTCTTACCTTCAGAATTCATTCGCACTCAGTATGCTAAGGTACACAGTGTATTTTTGGATCGCCCTCGTCGTAGAAGTTCATTGTGAAAAGTGCCCGACTTCTGCATCGAAAGAACAACTAAATCAGGGTCAAGATACGAGTATCTGTATTGTGGCTCTGCCTCAGGTGCTGAAGCAAATTTATGGCGACTATTTCGGGCCGATTCCTGAAATACTTGACAGAATCGAGGGTCAGCTGGAAAATACCGAAAGAGCAGTAAATTCGATAGAGCCCGCAAAGAACAAGTATCTGAAAGTGCTGTCCGACAAGATCGAGCTGCAGAGCAAGATCGAAAGCCGGCAGGCAGCCCTGGCGGAAGCGGTGGAGGCCCTTCACTGCTCCCTGGAGTACAAGAACGTGGCGTCGGGTGGCCAGATGCATCCGGAGTTCCGGAAGCTGGGCTCCAGGTTCTTCTACATCGAAAGGAACGTGAGAAGGGATTGGTTCGGCGCGGCGCAGAAGTGCCGGGAGATGGGAGGCCAACTGGCGTTGCCCCAGGACGAGGCGGAGTTCTCCCTTATCCACCAGCAACTCGGGAGCAACGGGCACTGGCTGGACATCAGCGACCTGGCCGAAAAGAACAAGTTCGTTTCATTGGTCACCGGGAGTGCAGCACCGTTTCTGAAATGGAAAGCTGGCGAGCCCAATAAAAATCCCGACGCGCATTGCGTTTTAACACTCGCCGGTAGCTTTTCAAAATATTTGTGCAGCGACAGACACTTTTTTGTTTGCCAGGCCTTACTTGGAGGAAGACTTGTATAATTTTAGCCCGTTTTCCATAAAGTGAACTCAGTTTAGCTGTTAACAAGTAAATTGCAGTCTTGAGCAATATGCTAATATCCCGTTTTGATTTATCCACCTTTTTCTTAATCGGTTTTTGCATTCGGAAGAGTCCCACACTCCTGGCTGATTAGAGAATGTTTCGACACATTATTTAGTGGGTTCTGATCACGAGTTGGCGTGGCATCACCCCCTCGATAAGTCGATGCAAGATCTGGGGAGCGGGTTAACAAGCTGGCCGCGTGCAAATGATGCTATTAAAGTGGCATTTAAAGTTTAAGTTGCAGTTAAGTCGCGCCTCTCTCCCTCACTCGCTATCCCGCCCCCTCCTCCGCCCTCCACCCTCCTCCCGACCATCTCTTTTCTCTTTCATGGCCACATGTCGAAGCCATTTCTTTGAGCCACAAACCACAAAACAGAAGAACGACAATTGCTGCAGCAGCCACGATGCACTGGCAAAAAAGGTTGCCATGTTAAGAAGTTGTTAGCATATGCAATCAATACATCTCCTCAATCGACTAACTAGAACAACGCCTGAAAGTAAAAGGACACACAGCCAATGTGGGTCGAATACCCTGCAACAATACCTTTCATAGGGGTCATTTATTTCTTCCAGCGCAGGCGACATCGACATCGACGACACGACTTTCCTCTGGCCAATGTTTTGCATATGTATGAGAGCCAGTAATTTGCACTTGTGTGCGCGAGTATCTGTGTGAGGAGCATCTAAGATGCCGCCCGCCGATGCACGCTGCTCGTTTAGATCGTCACCATTGCTGGCGTCTGCCTGACCCAGGTTGCAACCAGCAACCAGCAACTAGCAACTAGCAACCAGCAACTTGGAGGCAGCAGCGACCATTCGGAACACCAGCAACATTATTCGGAAAGCCAGTGAAATGTTTTTCTTTCGTTGAGCACTAAAATCAATACTTCGTTTGATTTTAAATCAGGTTTCACTGCCGAACAAAATACAAAAACGAAAGACATGGGTCTTAAAACACCACTCACACATTTTATTGTGTTTGTCTTCTTCAACGCAAAAAATGTAATTATTTCTTCACACCCTTTTCTTGCAGTGTAGATTACTCCTCTAATAATCAACAGCAACAGCACCACAGCAACAAATGCAATTCGAAAATGTGTTGCGGTCACAAATGCTTAACTTTTACTAATAGTTAACAGTTTTTGTTGCTGTTTCTTTTGTTGTTGTTGCTGTTGCTGTTGTTGTTACTCCTTCACGCAGCAGTTGTTGTCGTCTCGATTTTATAGATAAACATTCTATTTGGCAATTAATTGGCATTTTGTTACTTTTCCAGTTGGATTTGTATAAATTGTTTTTTCCAGCTCACGATATTGAAATGTTGTTGCTGTTTCAGGTTGCTGCTGCTCGTTTGCAAGCTGCAAGTTGCAAGTTGCAACTTGCTATATGCTGCTGTGGGCTGCCAGTTGTGTGTGCTGGTGGATATTCGTGATTGTCAGCAATGATTATTTGGCGAACACTTTTGGCGGCCTAGAAAGTGAACCGCAGCCGGGGAGCAAGCTCTGCTAATTAAATTGAAGGCGGATCGGATTCTGGCCGAGAATCCCCCAAGGGCCGGCGTATTAGCCCCATCCAGGCCCATTTGCTTCTCTCCTGGCCTCGAATTTATGGCACGGCAAGGCAATTGACATTAACCCTAACAGCGACAGATGCAGCAGCACTAGCAACTTGCAACTTGCAACCACTGGTTGTGGCAATGACACTGCTCTTGCTGTTGGATCTGGGATTGCGGATCGCGGATCGCGGATCGGGGCACGGGGATCGGGGATCGTTGCACTTGGCCCACAGATGAATTTATGTATGCAAAGCAGGAGGAAGGGGCGCTCGGGGGCGAGACTCAAAGGGGACTAACCGAAACCGAAAGCAGGCTGACTGACAGGACAAAGGAGGCATTTTTCACAAAAGAACAAAAACGAAAGGGAGCAGTCTTTCCGGATGAGAAGCAGAGGAAGTCGGGTTGCACGAGGGGCAGAAGGAGGAGCAAGAACACAAAGGCAACCACAGAGCCGCCGCTGAAAAGGACAGTGGTCAAAAGTACAATTTAATTAGCCATGGATCCTTTCTCATTGAGCCATCGATTGAAACTTCTATTTTAATTTATTCACCCGACACCACCACCGTTTGTAGAGATATATAGAGGGATTTTCTATTCCGTGTGTTTTTTCACATTAATTGGAAAATTTAAGAAAATTTTGTTTCCCATTGGCAGCCAATGAAGAGGTGGACACTGTGAGCGGCGGTTTCTGCTCCGCCACAAAAGAGGAGCACCAGTAGCCGGATCGGAGGAGAAACAGAAGCCGGGCATCCCGTCCAAGTCATCTGCTCCCAGCGAGCCACTCGGGATGCCTCGGATGAAATGTGCGGAAAAGTAAAAGTAAAATAAGTGCGCCAGCGGTTGGCAGGACTCGAGGGTTCCAAAGAGGGACAGAGGGACAGAGGGACAGTGGAGGGGACCGATTGGATTCGGGTATGCAAAGAGCTGGGCTGGACATAAATTATCTTCGGCCGGGCGGCGGACAAATCCTCAGAAGCCCGACAATGTCGAAGGAGCCTGTCAATTGCAGTCGAACAAAGGGAGGAGGATCTGCGGAGGGGGTTGGCCAGAAAAAGGAAGCCTGTCAGCGGACGAATCTCAGTCAGGGCAAAAGCAAAAGTGCGCCAGCGGTGCCTGGTGCCTGGTGCCTGGGAAATGACTCGGGATCGTCGGATCAAAATCGCTTGGGATGCCTTCCTGACAATTGTGAAATGCAAACGACGGCCAGCGAATGGCAAAAACCGCCCAAGCCGGGCTTGATTAATTTATGGCCTCCGTTTTCGCCGCAGACCCATTGTGAGCTACTGGATCTTGGCCCGGCCCTTTGTTTCTTGGCCTTGACTGCAGGAACAACGGCTCTGGCATTTGAATCACGACCCCGAAGCTCTTCCCTAGGAAGGAAAAAGCAGTTGGCCGCTGGAGGTGTTGTCGTCGTCACCAGGGAAATTCGCGGAAAAGTCATGCGACAAAGGGGCAACAAAGCCTGTCCGATTTTCGCCACTGGAAACCACGATCTGAGCACAGCAAACTCCAGATCATTAGAGGAAAAAAGTTATAACTATTTTTTTGAATACATTCAAAACAATAAAAAACTGACAATCTCAATAAAGCCTACATAGTAATGTTAATGGGCTCTGGAAGAGCAGTCCTGCGGTATCTTACTCTGCACTTCATTGAAAACTTAACCAAATCTGGGACAGCCAGGGATATCAAAATTTATTTAAGGATATTACCACAGATATTTATAGGTATGCCATTCAAATTGTCAAAGTTATGGGCTCTGGAAGTCCAGTTATGGGCCACTCTACGGCACATCATCAATAAAAACTGACATGAACAGGGGTCAAAAAGGTCGATAAACTGCAGCAAATACATTAATATGACAATAAATGTTTACAGGTACGGCACCTTTGAAATTGACCGAGATGTGGGCTTTGAAAGGGTGTGGAATCTATTAAAAATATTCTTAACACGCTTGGCTTGGCTTCATATATTTCAGCATTTGTAAACTGTAATTGAGTTATTTTGAAACCCGGACGGCGCATACCTAAGAAGCAAAACATAGTTACTCACTATTATTATTATGAGCTATTTCAGCCAAAACGCGACTGCAACTCTCAAATTTTTGTGGCAACATGAAAAGTTCAATGTTAACAACAAATTAGGCGGCCGGGAACCGCCCCCACTCCGCCCCCCTGATCCACACAAGTTGGTAAATTGAGAAATTGAAGCCTAATCAGATAAGCGGAGCGTGTGACTGCGCCACAGTTGCAACAAAACAGCGGTTGCAACTGAAATTGCAATCTCCGCTAATCTCCGCATTTGAAAAATCGTACAAAATAAATTGAATTCACGAAAAGATTTATTAAATCGCACTTTTTGGCAACCGTGGCTGCAGCCCCGAATCCAAATCGGATTTCTTATCGCCAGCTGGGGATCTGGAAACTCGAAGGCGCAGCACTGGGGAGAACTAAGTCTCCGGCCGATTGCGCCTCGTTTCTCCGCCCCCAAGGTTAAGCATCAATTAAAAAATGCACCACCAAGGAATCTCAGATCTAATGCTGCACAGAGGGAAAATGGTACTGGGGGAAATAATATCACTGCCATCGAAATTTGGAGGAACATTTTGGAAACCACTTCCCTTAACTACTAAACTGGTATTGCGAATATGTTTGGACGTGATGATAATCTTCAAATGATGATAACCCACAAAGTGCTTTATTTTTTTGACTGTGTGATCTATGGAATTCCTAGTCGAGATTTCGGTTGCCGTTGGCTGTTGCAGTTTGTCACCAAGTGTTGCTGTTGCTGTCGCAGTTGCCGCAGTGTTGATGGTGTGGTTCATTTGCATAAAACAAATTTGGTATTAAATGCTAAACGCAGCGATAAGATCAACACCGAGTTGTTGTTGTCGTCGCCTCTGTAAAATTTGGCCAAAAGAAGCAGAGCGGACAGGAACAGGAGGTCGGCCAGATAGTTTTACCCAGTGGTCGAGAAGGACAGATGCACTTACAAGTTTCGCCGTTGGCAAGTAGGAAACCGCTAACGGCATTGTGCCGTTTTCATTCATCAAGGTACAGGAAGAGAGGAAAAGCCAGGAAAATCCTCATCAGCAGCGATTGTTGGGAGTTGGGAGTTGTGAGTTGGTTTGCATAACCTCTTAATAAAATCACGGCCATGGAAATCATAGCAACAGCAGCTAGAACAACACAGCCACTCGGAAGATCCCT